TTCCCTTTAGAGATGAGAGAAGCTTTAGTGCTTGAGTTCATTAACCTTAGATGAGGTGATATGAGTGTTAAGGAATATACATGGAGGTTCACCCAATTGTCTAAGTATGTTCCAATTCTAGTGTCTGATCCTAGGTTGGGAATGAGTAAGTTTGTGTCGGGATTGTCCGATTTAGTAATAAAAGAATGTCGTACGGCCATGTTTGATCATGATATGAATATTTCTCGCCTTATGATTTATGCTCATCAAATTGAGAAACAGAAACTTGAAGAAAGGTTTAGGGAGAAAAGGAAATTTAGGATTTATGATGATAACTCTTCTCTTGAGAGGTTCTCCGGACAAGGTCCTTCTAGGTTTCCCCCAAGATTTAGTAAAGATAGGGTGTCTAACCCTAGACCGCAAGGAATTAGTAGTGAGTCCCTATGGTCTTTTTGTTCTAGATGTGATAAGAGACATGAGGGTAGATTTCTAGAGGATTCTAATGTTTGTTTCAGTTGTTATGAGTTGGGCCACAAGATAAGGCATTGCCCTACGGTTTCTAGAAATGAAGGGGATAGTCGTCATAGGTGTAAGATCTCGTAGTTTTTTCCTCTAATCGTGCATAATATATGTGGCGTAGTATGGCATGGTTATATGAGGTGTATATGACTTTGTATCGTACATTGGAGATTAAGATTGCAAGTAGGTGGCAATATCAAGGAACTAAACTAAAGTTTTAGGCAAAGGAACCCCTCAAACAAAGTTCATGAGAAAAGAAATGGCTAGGGTAGAACTTCGCCCGTTTGAAAGGTTTAACTTGTCCCGTACCTTGTGGATAAGCCTATGAGTGTAAAACATGCTAATAATAGTGTGTTATGAGGTATTATAATAGCACAAGGGTCGTATGTTAAGTTTGGAAGTCAAGAAAATTAGTGAAACTAAAGTCGGCAAAAGTTATCGAAGTTTCTCTAATAATATTTTCTTAACTTTGGGTCAAATGTCTTGGATGTTTTCTCCCAATATACAAAGATTTAGAAGGCCTATCACCCATTAAATCAAAGAGTTAGAAGGCCTATCACCCATTAAATCGAAGGCCTACGAGTCTAGTTTGCAACGCACAAAACCCCGTATCTAACCGACATCGGAGTAAAAAGTTATGAGGGTTTTACTACGGACTGTCGGGGCAGAATCCGGGTCAGATACGGTTCGGGTTAAAGTTCTACAGACATTTCATCAAGTTGAGGCCATTTGACAAATCTGCCGATTAAAGAACAATTATGAACTATCTATAGGTGTGTACCAGCTGTGTATATATAGTGTTTGCGAAGTTTAGGACGTAAGGAACAACTTTCGTGAAGAAGCTACGGCCATTCGAGCGTTCATTGAAAATGTATGTTAAGGCGAAGCTACGTCCCTCATTTTAGCACCACTCCTGGGAAATTCCTAAAATGCCAAATGTGATATTTTGCTATTCTCTTGCTAGAAAGACCTTCAGTGAAGGGCATTGGGATCACAGTTGAATTATTTTCATGATTATGTTATTTTGATATTTTCACTCGTTCGGACAAATACAGTGTTCCACATCTACACGTCATTTTATCAGTTTCCTTGATTATATGTCCGCACGTATGAATTCGTATTCTTCCTTGGGTGATGTGAATTAAAATGTCACGCGAGACCCTTACTACTTGTGACCAGCCATCTTTCTCCACTAAGGTTATTATTAAAGAAAAACTTTAAAGTAGCTCACGACCTTCAAAACTCTCAAATATAATTTTAATGTAAACTATTAGAACACTTGGTTTTTGAAATATTTCTTTTATAAATTATCTAGGAACCAAGTTAGGAACTAAGTAAGTCACCTTAAACTTGTTAGGAATATCAACAAGGTTAGGTTATCCTTATAAATTCGAGTTAACTTTCAAGCTTATTTGGAAGAACATATCAAGTTCCATGAGATTGTATATGTATACGAAAGTGATTATGGGGTTATGAGAACAAGACTACAAATGGGCCCAATATTGGCAACATGACAACAGTAACTCATAGGTGTTATAAATCCATGACATGACATGCTATGCATTCTACTCCCGAGCTATAATCGGGAGGTATGGGGCCTATTGCCTATATTTATACGTATGAGACATAGATGGCCACAAGTTGGTGAATATGATGCCAGTTTGCTACTGGAAAGCACCACCATTGCTAGCATTTGGTTGGGTATGTCATGCATTTGCATATATATATATATGT